GGCGGGGCGAGACGTATAACCCCGCCAACTCCGACAGCACGAAGCGTCGGGGGTCTACCCGCACCGACCCGGACAGGAACGCCCCCATATGATCAACGTAGATGACCTCCGCAACACGGTACACGAATGTACGGTCGCCCGGCAGCTCGTCCGGGAGCTGGTAGCCGACCCCGCCGCCTTCGGCCATTAAGCGACGAAGGGCCGAAGACGCTTCTTCGAGGCCGCCCGCCTCGTATACCTTGAACACGCGGGCGAGATCGGACCGAAGCCACCCGCACGAGATCAACTCCACTACGGTGACCCCCGAACGGCCCCTGCCCGACCAGGGGTACTGCAGCTCGTCGACAGAGAGCAGTGGGGCATCGGAAGACGGAACCCCGAACCACCGCGTGGCAGAGGCCAACTCCCCCTCCCGACCGGAAGAGGAGGGGGGAGGTACAGGAGGACGACGGCCGAAGGACGCGCCAGCAGGAGCGGCGTGGTCGCGCGCGACGTCCGAATGCGCAACGGGAAGGACGTCGGCCGCTGGGGCCGAAGGGGCAGCCGGACGGAACGCGAAAACCGGTTGTGGGTGGCTCCACGGGAGGGGCCACCAGCTCCACGGAGACGGTCGTGGAGCGGGAACGGGACTTCTGGAAAGCCGGCGGAGCCAGCGGGGCCGTACGAGTCAGAGCGATGTCGTCCTCTCGCGATCCAGGGGACGCGCTCGATGACCCGACCCCGCTTGGCAAAGGAATCGCGACGACGGACGCGCCCGCCGCCACGGGTTTGCCGCCGCCATCGAGCGGAGGCGGAGGCGGAGGCGGAAGAGAGGTCGAGTCGGCCATGATAGGACGGCCGATAGCACGGAGCGGAGATGATCGATCGTGACTGTCGGGGAAGGACTGGGACAGCGCAAAGTGGAGCGGGAGTTTGTCTACTGTCGGCGGTGCTGGTGAGGGTTCAGGGAGCGAAGGACGAGGGCTCTACAAGCCACCTCAGAAAACGGCGGAACACGCGCCCGACGTGCGCCAACCGTCATTCTGCAGCATACCCTACAACGTACGCACAGTGCGCTTGCCCAGTGTAAGGACCGCCACGTATGCCGCCCGCCGACGAGGGTCGAGTGCGAAACGCCACCACGCCGGCACGTGGCCCGCATGGTACCCCGAGCCGTGCTCCATCCCAAGATGCCCGCCGCAAACCGACTCCCTCTTACTTCGAGCACGCGCGCCGCCGTCGACGGCAGGCGCCCCCTTGTCCCACACACAACCCCTCCTGCCCCACCGAAAGGGGATGTACGATCGCCCCAGGCGCCGTCTATCAGCGCGGGTAGGATGGGGCGTTGAGAGACGGTCGCTCTCGCCGCTCGGACGAGAACGAGGCGCTGCTGAGGTTGCGTCCGTACGGCTCCCCAACGCAAACGAGGAAACGACGAGGATAAGCCCGAGAGGCAGCGACGAGGAACGACGAAAAACGGGTGGTGGCACGCAGGAAAGGCGGAGCCGCGCCACCAGGCCAGCCGGGCATCTGTCGCGCTCCGGACTGCATCGTCTCCCTTGCCCTAGAGCCCCACGCCGACCCCGTGACACGTAATAAGGGATCGCGTGCCGCCTCCGCAGCAATGGCGTGCCTCCACGAAGGGGGGGAACCACAATCCGGTCGGTCCTGCAGGCACATGTGGACGCGGACGTCCACACTTGAGATCTCAAGTGTGAAGGGGGCATTGCTCCGGCGTTTTCCGTCACCCGTTTAGGGCTGCGCGTACCAGGAATACACACATAGTTGTGACTTTGATGAAGCACCCAAGCCAGTGCTAACTGTGCTGGAGTGCATTTCACATCATGGGCAATCGCTTTTATTTCACCAACAAGTGCAAGATTGGCGGCGAGGTTTTGCTCACTAAACCTAGGATTATTCAGTCGCCAGTCTCCCTCTTCCAAGTCTTGGCGTTTGGTATATGCACCTG